CAGTCCCTCATTACATGAATAAAAATCATCAGAGTTCTGTGAGCGACAGAAAACGACCCACATTAGTCATGCTGTACGTTTGGAACATTTCCTGTAGTTAAACTGCAGACGAGCCTCTGTGGATGACATAAGAATGAACCGTGTGTGTGCGTGCATCAGAAAATGTATGTTTGTGTGTGTGTGTGGCGTGATTTAGAAAAAGAGTGTGTAGTTATTCCTGGCGTAGCGACTGTCTGTGACTCAGAGATAATGGTTCTCAGTAGAGTAAGTGTGTTCACATGTGTGCGTTCGTGTGTCTATAAGTGACTACAGCTATGTCACAGTGTGTGTGTGTGTGTGTGGAATGTGTGTGTGTGTGGAGTGTGTGTCATAGAGAAAGTGGATGGAAGCAGATGCTATTTGCGAGGGACTGCTGTCATAATATTCAATCAATACCCTGCGGACACACACACACACACACACAGACACACATCTCTGTATGTACCCCGAGCACCCGTGGGAGTCGCCTGCTTTCATTAAGTAGGCCCGCTGCTTCTCTGTGCTGTGATTGGGTGGAGCATCTTAGAGAAGGAGGAAGGTGGTGTGAGTGTATTTGAAGTAACACAGTGCAGTCATTGTGACTGGAAACACTGTTGTACACACACTAAAAGATACTTTCTGCTAAATGGGAATAAAATTGAATAGAAAGTGTCATAAATGGCACTTTTAAGCCTCCGTAGCCTCACGAGGAGCCGATAAAACTGCAACTCTGTGCTTTTATAGATCTCAGGCAGCATAAAAAATAAAGGCCGTGTTTACTTACTGCTTATATAAATTTCTCTTTTTCACGGACGATATTACTGTCGTCTCACACGCACACACACACACACACACACACACACACACACACACACACACACCAGGAGGGCTGCTCCAGAGTGGTAACGATCATAACTGAGCTTACAGCGACGCTCTCTTGAAGCCCGCCCTCATCAAATCCTCCCCGTCAGAGAAGTCCTAATCACGGGGTGGGTGGGCAGCAGCAGCCTCTCCTGTTGGCCCCTCTCATCCCGTTATCTTATCACCCATCTCTCTCTTTATCTCACTGCACAGGATTTTGGGGGCGAAACACTATTTTTAAAAAAGTACTGAAAGAGGAAATAAGGGAGTGATGAGGAGGGAGGGGTGCAAATCCATCTCTTGTCTCTGTTGCTATGACAGCAGGTTGTGTTGGCATGCAATGGAGTTGGCGCTGCCCTCACCTCTGGCATCAGGAACCCCGGGGACTGTGTGCACATTGTATGTAGCATGTGTGTAGTTGCTTTCTGCACGTGTGCAGTTCAGATGATGTATAAATAAAAAAATGCTTTTCTAGCAGCATCGTGTTTCATTCACTGTGTATTTGAAAAGCTGACTGTTAACGCACATATTTAAAGTATGTGTACAGACCGTTTGTGTGCTTCTGGTGTGTAGCATTCATGTGTGTGCGTGTGCACAATGAGGAGCGTGCACGTGCAGTTTGTCAGCCAAGGGGCTGTTTCCTCTCCCTGGCCAGACGGCGCTCTCACCACTGGACAGATGGCCAACACCCTCCCTCACTTCTTCCCTATCCCTTCATCCATTCCTCCTCCTCTCCCTCCATCACTGTCTTCCTCTCCTGCGTCCCCCAAACACCACATCACCTCAGTCTCTCGTTCCCCACCTCCCAGCATCCCCTCATCCCTATTTCCCATCATACCGCTGCCGTCATAAATCAGAGTGCTGTGACGGTTTCGTGCCTCCTCACGCTCCCTAGCAGGCGTCCTCTAGCACCCAAACTCATGTTAGTTAGACCTGCAATAACATCAGCGAGGGGACAAACGGCGTGCAACCTGCGCGTACACGCTGATGCTGACCTGGCTACTAAGTTTTAATGGTCAGACTTTCTCTACCAGACTCGCCCTGAAATGAAGAGCCAGAAATAGCAGCACATAACAAAGCGGCGCCTCTCTATCGCGTGTGCTCGTTAAATGATGTTTCGAACTCCTCGTGGATAAAACTGACTTGGAGCTTAATCGCTTTGACCTGTAGCTGCTCTCTCTTAAAATAAGTAGTTTTCATTAGTCGTGGAGCTCGTTGGTTTAAAAGGTGAGATTTGACTTTTCCTGCGTTGATGAAGCTTCGTGAACTGTGTGATATAATAATTATATGTGCGATTTTTTTGTAGAATACTTTAATCTTTTCAGAATTGTCTGAAAAGTTTAAACTCTCGATCTCCGGCTGTGCCCACTGCTTATCCTTCTCTTTGCATCATCACCGTCATATTTGCTGTTGATTGATGGTGTTTCATTAAGACTTTTAGTGTCAGCAGGGCTTTTCTCTCCTCTGGTATCATCTCTGAAGCCAAGTGTCTTCAGTGTCGTCCTTTTGGATCCTCAGCGTTTATAATGTGATAATAAGGTGTGAAAATGGAGACACAATGGAGCGCTGAGGATTGGGCCTCCACTGGTCCCCTCTCACACTGCTGTGTGCTACCAGGACACACACACTCACACGCATTACGTCACATGCTAAGTGATAATCTACACACAGTATAAAGTAATCGGCAGAGCACGGCTGGATGCAATAAATGATACCCAGTAATGACATTAACCACTTCTGTGCTGTTAAGGCTACGCTGTGACACGCTGTGAGACACTTGTGGCGACGCAGATCAGGCGTTGTGCAGAAAAGGACCCAAATGCAGACTCTTAAAACCTTTACAGGGGGAACGAAACTAGAAACACAGGATCAGGAGCTGGAAGATGATCCGACAGGAGACGAGGGGAGGCTGAGACAATAAATGGGGGAAGTGGAGGCACACGGGAACAGAGCTGAACTGAAGACACTAAGAGGAAGCAAACCTGAACGTGAAGCACACAGGACAGGACTACCAAAATAAAACAGGAAGTCACTAACACTGAGACACGGACTGAAGATGCTCAGACTGGACGCGGGAACAGTAACAGACACAGAGCTGAGGGAGCGAGAGGC